AAAAAAAAAAAAAAAAAACACAAAAAACAAACAAAACGCCTTTAAAAATTGAACTACCCTTCAAAGTATCAAGTCACCTGCACTCGTGAAAAAACAAAAATAGAACTACCATATGATCCAGCAATCCCACTGTTGGGTACATATCCAAAAGAAAGGAAATCAGCAAATCAATCAATCACTTTTATTACAGTACTACTTATAAACCCCAAGATATGGAATCAGACTAAGTGTCCATCAGTGAATGAAGGGATAAGAAAAAGTGGTGTATATACACAATTGAATATTATTCTGCCAATAAAAAGAAAGAAATCCTGTCATTTGTAACAAAATGGATGGAACTGGAGGACATTACCTTAAGTGAAATAAGCCAGGCACAGAAAGATACATGTTGCATGTTCTCACTCTTATGTGGGAGCTGAAAAAGTTGATCTCATGGAGGCAGTAAAGAAAATGGTTGTTAGCAGAGGCTGGGAAAGGTAGAGGGGATGCGAGATAGACAGGTTGGTTAACAGGTATAAAAACAGAACTATACAGAAGGAAATAAGATCTAGGTCAGGAGAGGTGGTTCATGCCTGTAATCAAAGCATTTTGGGAGCTGAGGTAGGCAGATCACTATGAGCTCAGATCGAGACCAGCCTGGGCAACATGATGAAACCCTGTCTCCACAAAAAAATATGAAAATGTGCTGGGCATGGTGGCTCATGTCTGTATTCCCAGCTACTTGGGTTCTGAGGCTGAAGCGTTGCTTGAGACAGGAAGTGGAGGTTCCAGTGAGCTGAGATTGTGCCACTGTACTCCAGACCGTCCCCCCCCCCCCAAAAAAAAATAAGGTATAGTGTTTGGTGGCACTAGGGTGACTATGGTCAACAATAATTTATTGCATATTTCACAATAACTAGAAAGGCAGATTTGGAATATTCCCAACACAAAGAAATGATAAATAAATGCTTGAGGTGATGGTTAGCCTAATTACCCATACACACGCTTATATCAAAATACCTCATGTATTCCATAAATGTGTACTACTATTATGTGTCTTTAAAATAGGCTAGGCATGGTAGCTCATGCCTGTAATCCTAGAACTTTGAATGGTCAAGGCAGGGGATCACATAAGGTCAGAAGTTCAAGAATAGCCTGGGCAACATAGTGAGATCCTGTCTCTACAAAACAAAAAATCAAAGAAACCTAACCAGATGTGGCACACATCTGTAGTCCTAGCTACTTGGGAGGCTGAGGTGGAAGGATCACCTGAGCCCAGGAGTTCGAGGCTGCAGTGAGCTATGATTGCACCACTGTACTCCAGCTGGGTGACAGAGCAAAACCTTGTCAGAAAAAAAAAAAAAAAAATTAAAACAAAAACCACAAAAACCTAAAGCCTGAGTGACTCAATCTACTTGGATCTCTGTCTTGGCTTGTTTTAACAGAGGGATGGTAGTAGAGATAAGGAGTCCTTCACAGTGGCTTCCAATATCAGTTAGCCAGATGACTTAATGGGAGAAGGTACCTGTTTCCATATTTCTTTTGACACTTGCTAAGATCAGCAAATAGCTTATCTGGAAAATAATTCTCCCTTTTGCTTTTCCCTCTCTTACTCTGATGACTTTCATCTTCATCCTCTTCATCTCGGTACTGAATGGGACCTTCTGAATCAGAGTCACTCTCTTTCTCTTCTTCCTCCTGTAGACACCGTGGTAGTTTAGGAATGACTGAGGTAGATGTCATGTCTTCACTGAATGTGGTTGGACAGATTTGCTCCTCCTCTTCTTCATCGTCTGGACTAACAAATTAACATAATTATATATATATATTTTTAGAAACAAAGAGGATAACTTACTCTTAGGACGAAAGACTGAAATAAAGGCTGGGAGTGGTGGCTCATGCCTGTAATCCCAGCACTCTGGGAGGCCGAGGTAGGTGGATTCACCTTAGGTCAGGAGTTTGAGACCAGCCTGACCAACATGGTAAAAGCCTGTCTCTACTAAAAATATAAAAATTAGCCAGGTGTGGTGGTGAGCGCCTGTAATCCCAGCTACTTGGGAGGCTGAGGCAGGAGAATCGCTTGAACCCAGGAGGCAGAGGTGAGTCGAGATTGCACCACTGCACTCCAGCCTGGGTGACAAGAGTGAGACTCCATCTCAACAATAACACAAAGACATAGGACTGAAATAACTATAAAAAAAATCCAGGAATGAAGTAACTTATAATTCTCTCCCTTACCTTTAACAATCTTGCTGAGAAACTTTTTAGCAGGTTATTAATCTAAGGGTTCCAATTCCAGCTTTACAACTTATTAGGCACTGGCGCTTTCCAGAATTTGTCTAATGTCATTCTCACAAGCCTACAGAGTAGATATTATTCCCATATAGAGATGACATAACTAAGAGCAGAAAGATTAAGTAACTTAACACTACTATAAGCTAAGAGTGGTAGTGCTGGAATTTGAACCTAGGGCTATCTCACTCCAAGGTGAATGCTCTTAAGCACCACGTTATACAATGCTTTCCCTGTAGTGTATAAAACTAGTAGTTGTAATGTTTCATGTAAATAATTTTGTAAATGTTGCATCATTACAAAAATCTCCATTAAAAAAAATGAAGTCACAAGAGTAAAAAGTCCAAATTTGGCCAGGCTCAGTGGCTCACACCCATGATCCCGAATGCTTGAGTCCAGGAGTTCAGGACCAGCCTGGGAAACATGGTGAAACCCTGTATCTAACAAAAAATACAAAAATTAGCAGAGTGTGATAGCATGCACCTGTAGTCACAGTTACTCAGGAAGCTAAGGTGGGAGAATTGCTTGAGCCCAGGAGGTGGAGGTTGCAGTGAGTTAACACTGCACCACTGCATTCTAGCCTGGGTGAGAGTGAGAATCTGTCTCAAAAAAATAAATAAATAAGCTGGGCGCGGTGGCTCACACCTGTTAATCCCAGACTTTCAGAGGCCGAGGCAGGCAGATCAGGAGGTCAGGAGTTTGAGACTATCCTGGCCAACACAGTGAAACCTGGTCTTTCCTAAAAATACAAAAAATTAGCTAGGTGTGGTGGCAGACGTCTGTAGTCCCAGGTACTTAGGAGGCTGAGGCAGGAGAATCACTTGAACCCGGGAGGTGGAGGCTGCAATGAACTGAGATCGCACCATTGCACTCCAGCCAGGGTGATGGTGTGGGACACCATATCAAAAATAAAATAAAATAAAGTTTTAAAATAAGATTAAAAAAAAAGTCCAAATTCTTTTGGCAGAGTATTCTTTGTACTTTAAATTTATTCACATTGCCAGGCACGGTGGCTCATGCCTGTAATCCCAACACTTTGGGAGGCTGAGGTGGGTGAATCACCTGAGGTCCAGAGTATGAGACCAGCCTGCCCAACATGGTGAAACCCCATCTCCACTAAAAGTATAAAAATCAGCCAGGTATGGTGGTACTTACCTATAATCCCAGCTACTTGGAAGGCTGAGGTAAGGGAATCACTTGAACCTTGGTGGCAGAGGTTGCAGTGAGCCGAGATCATGCCACTGCATTCCAGACTGGGCAATAGAGGGAGACTCTATCTCAAAAAAAATAAAATTTATCCACATTTTCTTTTTGTTGAGATGGAGTCTCACTCTGTTGCCCAGGCTGGAGTACAGTGGCACAATCTTGGCTCATGGCAACCTCTGCCTCCCAGGTTAAAGCAATTCTCCTGCCTCAGCCTCCCAAGTAGCTGGAATACAGGTATGCATCGCCACTGCCAGCTAATTTTTTGTTTGTTTATTTATTCATGGAGACGGAGTTTTGCTCTTGTTGCCCGGTCTGGAGTGCAATGGTGCAATCTCGGCTCACTGCAACCTCTACCTCCTGGATTCAAGCGATTCTCCTGCCTCAGACTCCCGAGTAGCTGGGATTACAGGCATGTGCCACCATGCCCAGCTAATTTTGTATTTTTTTTTTTTTTTTTTCGGCGGGGTTTTTCTCCTGTTTCCCAGGCTGGAGTGCAATGGCACGATCTCAGCTCACCACAACCTCCGCCTCCTGGGTTCAGGCAATTCTCCTGCCTCAGCCTCCTGAGTAGCTGGGATTACAGGCACGCGCCACCATGCCCAGCTAATTTTTTGTATTTTTAGTAGAGACGGGGTTTCACCATGTTGACCAGGATGGTCTCGATCTCTTGACCTCGTGATCCACCCGCCTTGGCCTCCCAAAGTGCTGGGATTACAGGCTTGAGCCACCGCGCCCGGCCCTAATTTTGTATTTTTAGTAGAGATGGGGTTTCTCCATGTTGGGCAGGCTGGTCTCATACTCCTGACCTCAGGTGATCCACCCACCTCAGCCTCCCAAAGTGTTGGGATTACAGGCGTAGATGGGGTTTCTCCATGTTGGTCAGGCTGGTCTCATACTCTCAGCGTCGGGTGATCCACCCACCTCAGTCTCCCAAAGTGTTGGGATTACAGGCATGAGCAACACCTGGTTAATTTTTATATTTTTATAGAGACGGGGTTTCACTGCATTGGCCAGGCTGTTCTTGAACTCCTGACCTCAGGTGATCCATTCATCTTGGCCTCCCAAAGTGCTGGGATTACAGGTGTGGGTCACCATGTGTGGCCCATATTTTCTTTTTATAAGTAATTTTTTCTAAGCAGGGCTATCTAGAGTAAAGGAGAAACAAGAGGCAAGCTTTAGAGGCACTTACACTTTCAGCATTTCAATAGTGATGGGAAGAGACCTGGTCCGACCCAGTGTACTGCTGTCCTCAGAAAAGCTGTCACTGTTTTCAAAGAGCAACGAATGAGCTCTGTGAGAGCCCTCCAGAGGAGGAGTCATGGGAAGTGGACTAGTGAGGGCCTGCTGGATTCGAATATGCAGTGGGAGTGGAGGCAGCCTGGAGGGTATATGGGGCTCCCCAAAGTTCTGGTCCAATATCCTCTTGGGGACTTCCTTTCTCTGATCTTCCTGCTGGAGAATCTCCTGGGGTAGATCTAAAGATGGTGGAAACTCAATTTCTGGTACAACTTGAAAAGTCGCAGCAGGGAATGGAGGGGAGCATGGAGGCTCTGGAGGTATATGAGTAGGCAATGGTGGGGACGGAGAGCAAGGTGGGATCACTGGCAGCAGTTCAGAGCCCACAGAACACATGCTTTTCTCTCTTTGATCACTTGGTGTTTTGGTGGTGATGGCAGCAGCAGACTCCAAGGTGGGTGCTGAGGTGGATGGAATGCCTCTCTTGGGTGGTAATGGTGGGGACGGTTTTGATAACAATGTACCACTGTTTATTGCTTGGGACAGTTCAGCTGGAAAAGAGAGAGCAACACATCAATTTCACGTGACTTTCCAGTGCTTTAAGGGATCAGCCCAGGGCCTAGAATTAATGTTGAGTTCAGTTTTAGTCTTTCTAGTAAGTTATATAATTTCATAGTTTTGCCATTCCCCACATATTTTTATAGTAAAACAAAATTTATATTTATTCAAATAAACGTATAGAGGTGTAGGAAGACTGATGAGTAGCTAGCTTCATTGCTATGGCAACAGATATGACAATTTTTTTTTTTTTTGAGACAGGGTCTCACTCTCATCCAGACTGCAGTGCAGTGGTGCAATCTTGCCTCCCTACAACCTCCACCTCCTAGGCTCAAGCGATTCTCCTGTCTCAGCCTCTCAAGTAGCTGAGATTATAGGTGCACGCCACTACAGCCTGGCTAATTTTTGTATTTTTCATAGAGATGGGGTTTCATCATGTTGGCCAGGCTGGTCTTGAACTCCTGGCCTCAAATGATCCACCTGCCCTGGCCTCCCAAAGTGCTGGGATTACAGGCATGAGCCACCATTCCCCACTGACAACTTTTTATAACTTGATCTTGGTGTAGTTAATATGAATAGAGACAAAAAGATCTGATAAAAAGTTATTTTGTGGCCAGGCACAGTGGCTCAGGCCTTTAATCCCAACACTTTGGGAGGCTGAGATGGGCATATTACTTGAGGTAAGGAGTTCAAAACCAATCTGGCCAACATGGTGAAACCCCGTCTCTACTAAAATGAAAATAAAAAACAACAACAACAAAAAAACCCCCAAAATTAGCCAGATGTGGTGGCAGGTGCCCGTAATCCCAGCTACTCAGGAGAGGCTGAGGCACGAGAATCTCTTGAACCTTGGAGGCAGAGGTTGCAGTGAGCCAAGATCATGCCACTGCACTCCGGCCTGGACAGCGAAAGACTCTGACAAAAAAAAAAAAAAAAAAAGTTATTTATATAACAGTACTCCATTAAAAAATTTAAACATTCAGATAGCATAAAAAATAAATAATAGTGGGTATTGCTACCATATCCTGATAAATAGCAATATCTAGATATCTTAGCTCTGTGTTACAACTCTCAATTCTGACATCTTGAATTTTTATAGCAATTGCAAAGGCGTTTGAAGAAATCAAAGTGTTTTCTGTCCTTGAAGTCATACTCTATACCACCTGGGGTGACAGGGGAAACAAGATAGCATCTTTACCATTTTCCAGAAGGAAAAAGTGAGGCCACAGAAGTTAGGTGACTTTGGCCAAGATGATACTACAAACCGGCATGGACTCAGCTAGCATCCAGGTCTCTGACTATTTGACTGCATCCTACTGTCTCTAATATTTATTAGTATGCACACCTCTTATGTTCCCTTTGCACCTCACCTCACTGTGTCTACTCTCCACTAAATGATGGGCTCCTTGATGGCAGCGCAACCTTGCTTCCATCAACATATCCACAGAGATGTGCACAGTACCTGGCATCTAGTGGACCCTCAATATGTTTATCAGATGAGAATCCCTCACCCTGTACATGACAGTATATATTCCTATGGTTTCACCAAAGCCCCCAATGACTCAGCAAAGTCCCTTTGGAGGGCTCCATATGACCTGTAAGAAGTAGATCATCAGTTCACATAGAAACAAAACTTCCAAAATAATTATAGTAGTTCTTTTGATCACCAATCTCTAACCTTCTACCCAAACCCTTTATTTTCATCCCACTCAGTGTTCTCAAATGGTCTCAAAAACTTCCCTGAAATAAAACTGTATTTGTCCTAAATCCCACTATATTGGACACAATCAAAGTAAAAGGCTAGCTAATTTTATAATTTCTTTTTTTTCTTTTGTGACAAGGGCTGCCTCTGCTGCCAGGCTGAAGTGCAGCAGTATGAACAACAGCTCACTGCAGCCTTGATCTCCTGGGTTCAAGTGATCCTCCTGCCTCAGCCTCCCAAGTAGGTAGGACAACAGGTCCATGCCACCATGCCTACCTAATATTTTTTTTAATTTTTAGTAGAGATAAGGTCTCGCTATGCTGTCCAGGAGCTCCTGGGCTCTAGTGATACTTCCACCTCAGCTTCCCAAAGTGCTAGGAGTATGTGAGACACCACACCTGGCCCCTTTTCTTTTTAAATTTATTATTTAGTTAGTTTTTATTTACTTATTTATTTATTTTTTGAGATGGAGTCTTGCTCTGTCACACAGGCTGGAGTGCAGTGGTGCGATGTCAGCTCACTGCAACCTCCACCTCCCAGGTTCAAGAGATTCTTCAGCCTCCCAAGTAGCTGGGACTACAGGTGAGTGCCACCGTGCCTGGCTAATATTTGTATTTTTAATAGAGACAGGGTTTCACCATGTTGGCCAGGCTGGTCTTGAAAGCCTGACCTCAGGTGATCCACCTGCCTTGGCCTCCCTAAGTGCTGGGATTACAGGCATAAGCCACCATGCCCAGCCAATTTATTTTTATTTTTAAAGTAAGCTAAACTTATTTATTTTAGACAGAGTCTCACTGTGTTGCTAGAGTGCAGTCGTGCAGCTACGGGTCACTGCAGTTTTGACTTCCCTGGGCTCAGGTGATCCTCCCACCTTAGCCTCCCAAGTAGCGGGGACCACAGGCATGTTCCAACATGCTTGGCTAATTTTTTGGGGGTATTTTTTGTAGAGACGGGTTTCTCCAGGTTGCCTAGGCTGGTCTCAAACTCCTGGGCTCAAGTAGTCTACCTGCCTCAGCCTCCCAAAGTGCTGGTACTAGAGGTGTAAGTTACTGTGCCCAGCCTTTATTTTTTTAGAGATGGGATGTCACTCTGTTACCCTGGAGTGCAGTGGTGTAATCATAACTCACTGGGAGCCTTGAACTCCTGTGCTTATGCAATCCTCTTACCTCAATCTCCCGAGTAGCTAGAATTACAGGCACATGTCACCATACTCAGCTAATTAAAAAAAAATTTGTTTTTGAGACGGAGTTTCACTATTGTTGCCCAGGCTGGAGTTAAATTGCACAATCTTGGCTCACCGCAACCTCCGCCTCCCAGGTTCAAGTGATTCTCTTGCCTCAGTTTCTTGAGCAGCTGGGATTACATGCATGCACCACCATGCCTGGCTAATTTTTTGCCATGTTGGTCAGGCTGGTCTCAAACTCCCAGTCTCAGGTGATCCACCACCTCGGCCCCGCAAAGTGCTGGGATTATAGGCATGAGCCATTGTGCCTGGCTAATTTTTAAATTTTTTATAGAGATGGGGTCTTGCTACATTGCTCAGGTTGGTCTTGAACTCCTGGCCTCAAGTGATCTTCCCACCTCAGTCTCCCTAAATGCTGAAATTATAGGCATAAGCCACTGTGCCTGGCCTAATTTTGTAATGTTTTAATGTCACTCATCATAAGTAAATGTTTTTTGTTTTGTTTTTTTGAGACACAGTCTCACTCTGTTGCTTAGGTAGGAGGACAGTGGTGCAATTTTGGCTCACTGCAACCTCCACATCCCAGGTCCAAGTGATTCTCCTGCCTCAGCCTCCCAAGTAGCTGGGATTACAAGCATGCACCACCATGCCCAGATAATTTTTTGCATTTTTAGTAGAGACAGGTTTTCGCCATGTTTCCCAGGCTGGTCTCCTACTCTGGGCCTCAAGCAATCTGCCTACCTTGGCCTCCCAAAGTGCTACGATTACAGGTGTGAGCCACCATGCCTGGCCCGATAACTAAACTTTGAAAAGGGGATTCTAGAAAAATACTGCATACACACAAAAAAAGATTCTAAAAATGTGAATTTTAGGAACAGTAAAATAGATATGGGTAGATTGGATTTTTGCTGATTCTCTAAAAATAGCGGTTAGCTATTCTATCTACAACAAAACTCATTCCTGGTGAGACCATAAATGAATGTTTTTACTTTTGAATTAATAAGAAATTACATTTGGTAATTTAAGGAAGGCATATACATTAAGCAATTAAATTCTGGTACATATACCCTGACAACAGCATCTGGCTGTAGTTCTGTGGAAAACCAGAGTGTTCCTGGGATGGGAAACAATTCCCTTTGACCTGTTCAGCTATTGCTGGTGGTCCTTCCTTAGTACTAATACTCCATGTTATACCTATGAGAAGACAGTAGTACTACTAATACTCCATGTTATACCTATGAGAAGACAGTAGTACTTCTGAAGCAATGGTTTCCAAACTTTTAGATTTCAGTGACCAAAACAATTAAAAAAAAAAAACTTGATTGGGCCGGGCGCGGTGGCTCACACCTGTAATCCCAGCATTTTGGGAGGCTGAGGTGGGTAGATCACGAGGTCAAGAGATCAAGACCATCCTGGTCAACATGGTGAAGCCCTGTCTCTATTAAAAATGCAAAAAATTAGCTGGGCATGGTGGCGCGTGCCTGTAATCCCAGCTACTCAGGAGGCTGAGGCAGAAGAACTGCCTGAACCCGGGAGGCAGAGGTTGCGGTGAGCCGAGAT